CACGGCCCTCACTCACCCTCACACTCATGAATTTTCCTGGTTCAGAAACTCACTCACCCTCACCTCACCTGTAAAGATGAGGGTGAGTGAGGGTGAGTGAGGGCCCTCATGAGCGAGGTTTGCCGAGGTATGGCCCTGTGTGCAGGCTGCTTCCTGGAGTGGCCTGATATCTCCCCAATTCGGGAAAAAGGGGGGAGGGGGAGAAAGGGGTGGTTGTTGTGGCAAGGTAATATTTATTCTCACTCAGGAGAGTTGCCGGTCGTTAAAAAGTCGACTCGCTCATAACGGGTACTGAGAAGTTGTGATAGTACAAACGATGGGGCGTTGTGGAGGCGAGTGAAGTAAAGACCTATCTTACGACTGTGCCGTCTTCATTAGAAGCTAGAATTTCGGTTGCTTCTTCCACCTTTTTGACGCCAATCTTTCCAATATTAGATAAATCCGGTACAGCGTTGATCGCGCAAGCCCGTACCAATATTTCAAGACCTTTATCAAGTTATAAAACAGTCATCAAGCAGACATAAGGACGAATAAACACGCGAAATAGTGCAAAATGGGAGGAACAACCTAAGAGAGAATATATGTGTTTCAAATAATAATGAAGATTAGGGAAAGCCACTTGGTTTATATGTTTCGGAAAGAAATGTATAATTGACGACCTGAACCCTTTCTTGCGCAAGCCCATCCTTGTGCAAACACGGGAATGGTTCCAGCAGCCGCACAATGCCAGAGAGCGGTTGCTGGATACCACAGCATACCACCCCAGCATACCACAACCCCCACCGACCGAGCGGCCTCAGGCCTGCAGCTCATGGAATAAAGCGTTCAGTTGCGCTGGCTTTCTCAGTCTCGCGGATTGAGCGTGCCCGAGTCAACGAGGGAAGACACCTGGACGTCTCAAGGTCGTGGCATTCGCGGCTAGTCGCTCATTTCGCGCTTTTCGAGGATTATCCCTACAGGAAAAGCCGATACAAAAGAAGCCCGTTTTCACGCGACTTTTGGGAGAGAGTGAAAAGTGGAGGGGCACGAGGGGCACTTTCCTACATTGCAGAAAATGGTTTCGTAGGTCGGTCTTTAAGTATAAATGTCGGCTCAAAGATTTTTTCTCAATTATCTTCCGATTTGGGTAACAATGTGTTCTCAAACTTTCACACTCTGTGTTATACGCTAGCGTCACATTTTCATGGAGTTCAAGCTTTATGCGATGCATAGTTGATTTACCCGGGCCGGACAACGCGATTCTCGTTTCTCGGGAACTCCCGGTATATGTCCCGCAGACTGCAAGGTTCATGAAACTCTCGAAAGCAACCAAAACACTCACCAGGCCTCTCGCACTTTTTCGAGGTTCCTCAGTCCTACCAGCAATGGGAAGGAGAAGCGTCGGCAGAACAGTGCATCAAAGGTGTCTGCGATATCCGCTGGCAAATGCAGGTGCCTCGAAATGTTCGACACAGAAATGGGGAGTCCGGTTCAGGTCCTCGGTGTCGTTATCTCGCCCAGCGACACATAACTATTTACGTCTTTGTGGGTCCTTCTCCGGCAGAGCGAAAAACCAGACCTTTTTGAATATTTTTAGAGCGCAGCTCTTAGGCGCCCGTTTCCGGCTTGAACGGCGTCGCCGTAACCACACGGTGCATTATGGAACACGTGACGTCACTGATGACGTCATCAGTGACGTCATCGTGATGACGTCATCGGCATCGTCACTGATGACGTCATTGTCCCTGATTATGTCATCAGTGATGTCACTGATGACGTCATCGGCATCCACATCGCCGTCTTCACTGATGACGTCACTAGTGATGATGATGTCATCAGTGATGTGACTAATGACATCATCGGCATCCGCATCGTCACTGATGACGTCATCAGCATCCACATCGCCATCTTCACTGATGATGTCACTAGTGATAACGTCATACGTCACGTGACCTCATAGGGGCCACGTGACCCCCGTGAGGTCACGTGACCCCGGTGACGCCACATGACCCCTGTGAGGTCACGTGACCCTCGTGAGGCGACGGCGACACCGCTTAAAGGAGCAATGCAACAATTTTTGTACTTCGCGCAAATACCGCTTAAAACGGATCCCTAATGTTAATGACCTATGAAACACGCGTTCGTTTTTCACCCCACGCAATAGAAGTCCCAGAAAAAAATTAAAGAAAAACGAGCAGCGTTTACCCCCTCAACTCGCAGCCAGAACAAGCGGCCATGTGATCTGGAGCCGATTATATGCCGCCAGTGTTGATCATAGCCACGCGCTGGGGTTGGCAAAGCGGAGGACACGCGCTGAGTTCCAGACATTGTTATGGCTCGGCTGTTGTCGTCGTTGCAGCGATTGGACACGGGTCACAACCCGAATGCTTCTCGAGCTAGCAATTGTCACGAGCCCAAGTCGAGTGCCCACGCAATGCTCGGGTCCAATCTATGAACCGCATTCAAATATCGTCACTTGGGTGTACTGCGATCCCTGAGTTACGTCATCAAATTTTGCAAAGGAGAGATTGAATGAAAATGATCGCTTTTGTCCTTGAAATTACACCGCAACAAAGGAGTTTCTTGGCCAGTGGCGTTGCGTGTGAGTATCCTTGAGTCCCAGGTGTGCCAGTAAGCTCGTGTAGAGAGAAAAACATTCCAACTGAATATCGTTGCACAGCTCCTTTAAAGGGAGGAGTAGCAGACAGGATGAGGAAGTGAGGAGGAAGGAAGGATATACCTTCCCCTCGGTATTCTTCCCCTCCTCCTTCTCAAGAGCTGCGCCCTAATTTGGCATTACAGGGAGTTGTAAACGGCTTTCATTTGTTTTCTTTCTCTTTTTTTATTCGGGCACAACTTTATTACATAAACGTTCGGCATCACACGGAAGAGAAGACGAGTAAATGTTTCAACACGTGGATGTGGATGAATCGGTGAACCTTGCTTTGAGAACAGGACGAAGTGGGAGCCTCGGGAAGAACCTGTTCCTTATCGTTCTCGCGGCGAGATAAGCTACGAGTGAGGCGCTTCCTAAGAGGAAGCCGCGTGGGCAGTTCACTTCCTCGTTACAAGGCGAGGAGAAAACAGAGTTTGCTCGTTTTCAAACAATAATAGCTGTATTACGTCACCTACGCCCCAAGATTAAACATTGTTATCAAAATAAAATGTTCATGTGCCTAAAGCGAGCAATCATAGAAATTTTCAAAATCTCCAAGGAATTAGCCATTTTTATTGGTCGAATTTTATGGAGGTAGTAGGGACAGGGGATGGACCCCCCAAAAGGAAATAGTGGTCTGTATTTCTATTTCTGTGAGTTTACTAGGGCGTCTTGCCGTTCAGAACTGGTAATTTTTATTGACTGAAGCCCAACAAACAATATGCTTCTAAAAACAAGCTTCTCCAAAAAGCACCCAAGTGCCCCTTTAAAAGCGGCCATTTAATTTTTCTCTTTTCAGAAATTTTTTGAGGCCTCGTTATAATCTGCCTCGGTTCAAACGATTCCAAATACGCAGACTAGATACAACCCCTGCGCCACATGCTTGCTTGCGCACGGTAACCATGTGTACACCAGCGAACACTTGGGTTCTCGTTTATGGCCAATATTATGGCAAGGGAAAACACCAAACTCCAACAATGTCCGCAGCATAGCCTGTTCATGAGGTGCTTGGTTAAGAGGAGCGACAGCAAAAGCAGGCGTGAGGTTGCTCGGTGTTGGTTATTACGGTTTGGCACAAGCAACCACCTGGCTATAGAGAGTATTCACCGATGGCTATAGCTGTGCGCTTTGGCGTTAGGTGCATGCTGACAGCAAGCGTTCGGCAGATTCCTTTTGCAGCATCAAAACCGTCGTTCACAGCAGGCAATGAGTTCCTTCACGCACGGCTGGTGCTGATGACATGTGAACACCTCCTGTCGGCTTTCAAACCTTAAAGGGGTTAGGACAGGCCAAAAACAAAATATGAGATAACTATACTACTAGGGCCCAACGTGTATTCCTGTATTTTTGGTAAGTTTGTTTTGTAGATGGCACAATAGTTTCGTGGATAGATTGATTTATATGTGGGACCCACCGCATCTTGAGCAGGCGGCTTCGAGACGATGACATTCATAACATTGCTCTCTTTGTTGGAGTGTTCGACACAGATCGCAGCAGTGATGAGAGTGATTGTTATCGAGAGATGTTGGAAGCTGGCTGTTTTTGACATCGACACGCTGGCGACCGGCTCCAACAAAACAAAGATTGTAACAGACAAACTCGTCATCGTTAGCGATGACTTCGCACGTATGTGCAGGGTGGGAAGTCAGAGGGTAAAGGTGTGAGAGCGAGTTGCGTTGGAGTTGAAGATTAGCGCGAGAGTGCGATCATTCTGTGACGAGGTGAGCTAGGGCAAGCGTGGGGGCACCTAAAATGAGAGAGCGTTCAACTAAATATTACAATCATGTGGTTTTTGGGCTCCATGGTGCAACTGACTTGGGCACTGTTGCCTGGTCACCAGACAAAAACAATCAACATTCCTAACTTGATTACTGCCGTTACTAATGCTCTAAAAATTGCAAAACCTTTTGTATGTACTAGTTAGCCAGTGGACATTCCATTTCAAGAAAAATCTGCCCGTTTACCTTCCATGTCCTAACCCCTTTATCTCTAGCCACGAACAGTTAAGAGCTCTTCAGGGAATTATCAGACACTTGTTCCTTCCTTACATAATCACGTCTTGTTAATATGGTCCCCATTGACATCAATACTCCTATAGACAAGATGTTTGGAGACGAACTGGGTACATACATTCACTTTTGAGTTACCATAGAAAACCCACATTATAAACGATTTGGGTGGGAAACAGAGATGTCCATATCAGAAAGCATCCCTGTATCCCATTGTCATAATCTGTACACTGGCAAAGCCGATTGGCAATCTTTCCCACCACGTTTTCCTTTTTGCTTGTTTTACTTCCTCTTTCAGATAAATTATTGGCTCTTTCCATCAGACAGGAGCGTTGTCCAAACAGAACCGGCAGTACCTTCTTCCCGCAGTTTGGCAGCAAGTTTTCCCGCCACGGGCACCGGTCTTCGGCCCCTCCGGCCCGCCATTCTCCCTCCTTTGGACGGATCTCGAAGTCGCTTCTGTGAAGGACATAACAGGACAATGAAGACCAGAGGCTCGCTTTCTGAAAAACCCGGGGGTTTCCCTTCCTACCCTGCCCGCCTCGATTTTGTTGAGCTCCGTACCGCTCAGCCGAGATCGGTGTAAGCGCGCGCAAGCTAAAGCTTTGCGTACGCCGAACGCAAAGAATAGCGTCGTCGTCAATGCGCATGCGTCGAACGCTAACCACGTTTTGCGCCTTGCGTGCGCTATTTTAGCTTTTGGCTACGCAAGGAATTTGTGATGAGAAGTCGACTTCTGGGCAAACTGGGCGCTCAGCAGCGCTTCCGTGGTCGGAAGCGCTTATTACTGCAATGAATCGGCGACTCATTGCTCTATCTATAGATTGAAAAATTAAAATAAGCAGCGAGAATTGTATTTATAAAATGAAGCACTAACGTCTACGCAAGGGGTTTGTGATGAGAACAAGAAGTCGATTTCTGGGCAAACTGGGCGTTCAGCAGCGCTTCCGTGGTCGGAGGCGTTTATTACTGCAATTAATCGGCAACTCAATGCTCTATCGATAGATTGAAAAATTGAAATAAGCAGCGAGAATTGTATTCCTAAAATGAAGCGCTAAAGTTTTAATTATTACTTTTGACGCCGACGAGCAGGCTTGAGCGGCTTCCTAATAGTTTGCGAAGACAAAGCCGCTCAAAATCCAACATGGCGCAGCCCCTCCGCCGTTCTCTGCTGCTGCTCCCTAGCGCGGTAGGTTTTGTTCGTAAATTTGCGGTTCGCGCGTGCCATGCCACTTGTTATGGCAAAGAATTGTAAGTTCTGCTTGCCTACCTTGTGTCCAGCAGTTGACAGTCCGTTACTTGTCGTCGGCGTCTTCCAGGGAATCGAAACAGATGCAGCATTTTTCGCACTCGTTGACAGATTTATTCAGTCATTTGCATGACAAGGAAAAACAATTTACACTGTCACTTTAAACAAGCTTTGCTATGCGGGAAAAAAAAAAATTAATAATGCGCGCAGTATCTACGTAAGCAAAAGGTGCTACAGCGAAGATACAATGTGCGACATTGTTAGCGCGAACATGACCTCACTTTGAAAAGGCTATCGGCGGGCACCACCTATTACTGCTATAGTTCGCAAAGTGACTGTTTAAAGTTTCGTACCTCAGATGCAACTATGGCGCGAGAATATCTGTCTTCGCGATTGAAAAACACAATAAAGTCATGTCTCGCTAAAAAGCCGCTGGGCACAATTCGTCGATTATTCGCAGCATATTCGTCCCATGGAGTTAGCCGATCGTTTCGGTCACGCTGCCATATACTTCATATTTTCGGGGACTGATATGTGTCTCCATACAATTCCAACTCGTCACGTTATAAATAAAGAAACCCGAAGTACGTACTACTATGAACAGCTAGCTTGAGAACGAAATGGATAAATACATGCTTTTATCTTTTTATTGTGTTCTCTGTAAAGACAAATGCAAAAAAAAAAAAGGGGGGGGGGGGGGGGGGAATATATTAGTGAGATGAAAAAGATTAGTAAAGCTCTTCGGTTACAGAATTTACCCAGAGCTTCATTATTGTCAAATATGACTGTGGTGACTGAATGTCGGATATGACAGTGGTGACTCGATGGTTACAATTTTTAGGGGTTTCCAGCCTGAATCACTTGCAGTTCTTTCACTTTCCCAGTTACAGATAACAAAAATAAACAACATACCACCTTCATTGTTTATTCTTTGTGATCTTGGCATTGATTCATGATTATGGATGACTAACATTATGGAGAATTGTTTTTGAAACTGGAGATGTCCGTATTAAAGAGAAAATACTGTAACAGCAAACAGAAATGTCTGTTTTTGTGGCATGAAAACACAATAATCATAATATCTGGTATGTGTTACATAGAAGCGAACCCAGTGTGAAGTAAATATGCAGCCCTGCCGAAGAATTGTATGCAAACAGCCCTATCGATGAGGCATGTCTAAGAGGATACTTAAATGGTTATTGATTGTGGAATCTCAAATACCAACCTGAACATATGATAAAACATCAATTGTTCAACCTGTGTAATAAGACAATAACACAAAATTTTAGTGGGTCGGATTTTGGCCAGCAAAACTTGATATCCTAAAGAGTGAAACTCTCCAAGCACATAGTTAGAATTTTAGCTGCCAAAGGTCCTGGAATCACTGGTTCGAAGCAACAGATCTTCCCCCCCTCCCCCTCCCACCCTAAAAAAGAAACTGCTTAGAGGTTGTTGGCCACCAGCAGGCTTACAACTTGTATAACAAAATGGATGCTCAGAGGCTTCTCTTAGTCTATGATCTTGCTCCATAAAAATCATGCAAGGAGCAACCTGCTGATGCAGTGGGCCACATGCAGTGGGCCACATTCATTTCTGAAAGAAATAAAACGTGGCAAACTAGTCCCAGGGCTGTAAAAGAATCTACACGAGATACATTAATAAAAACGGGCAGATATTATAAGATATGAACTCTGAAATATTATAAAACTGGGAGAATATTTTTATATAGACTACAATTCACTCGACAGGGATCTACACTGCTGTGTACAAAATCGATGAGATGTAGAGGAGGTGATATTTCGCCAACAGTCTACAGATCATAAAATATTTGCAGAACGGTCTTCATCCACAAAACCGTGCTAAGAACGCTCGCCGAAATATGTGCGTCGCAATGAAATCACGGTGACATTTTCTAAATTTCAAAAATAAAACGATATATTCAATTACCTAAACGAGTACAAAACCCTCAAATTTTGCAATTTGTGGCTGGAAGATCAGCTTAGGAAAAGTTTCAATTGGGGTGAAAACTTTCAAACTCACCGCCGTCAGTTGGGATCCGAACGAATGGGTGCTTCTTGTCCCCGACGCTGCTTGGGCACCACTTTGCGTAACCACACGAATGAGGTAGTTCAAAGACACGAAAAGCTTTCCACTCGCCCAAAAGTGCGAGGCTCACACAGTGCGATGATCGAGGCGCCGACGCTTGATGCACCGAAGGCAAGCGAAAGCACCGAGCAGACCCGCGGACGCCTTCACAACGGTCCTCCGGTTTCAGAACGCGCACACAGGCCGTAGTTTCATTTTAGAAACGCAAAAAATACAAAAAAAGACATTTCGAAAGTGTGATATTGACACACACTTTAAAAAAATATCTCATATTTTTAGGAATACATAATTTGTATTTAGTGAAATAATATCCAGTCATAACTATAGCCCATTGCAACCTAAGAACGAAGGGCAAGGGTAAGACGGGCCGGGGAGGAGGAAGCAGACGGAACGCTGGGGAAGAGAGAGGGAAACCTCCTCTCTTTAGCGTTCCGTCTGCTTCCTCCTCCCCGGCCCGTCTTATCCTCGCCCTTCGTTTTTGGGTTGCAACGGACTATAGAGCTAAAAGAAGTTTTATTCATTATTGTTCTGTTGAGTTTTTAGTAATGAGCGCCTCCGACCACGCGAGCGCTGCTCTACACCTCTATGGTGGTGCCATCCGTGTTCCCGCCGGCGTCTTGAGCGTGACGTCGGCGGCATCCTCGCGACTGCGAACGTTTATCAGCGAAGGACAGTATACGAGACTTCTCTTGCCGAGGCGACGCATGCGGACACGACCGGCCGACCGCTCGCGTCGCATTCTCATGTATAAACAAATCTGAATTGTTACTCTAGACCAGAAAAACTTGTTTCTCCTCAAGTTGCAGCATTTCGTGTTTGAAATAAAAATTGTTACTGTATCTTGGTGGCATTGCGAGCGCGAGATGTTCGGACTTTTGCGGCTTTTGCGTCACAGCGGATGGGCGTTGTGTGCGCCAATGCAAGCGCTAAATTTAGCACTAGCATACGCTAAAATTGCGTACTCCCTATAGTCACGGTGAAGCATGCGAAATGGGGCGAGAGAAGGAAGTCAAATTTGGGCTTAGATGTCCAGACGGCGTGGGGGACGAACGCTAGCGGTCGTACTGCACTGGCTGAATTTCTCATCTGCAGCTAGGAGACAAATCGCCCGTTGATGCAGACTAACCACCCCTTCCCCTGGCAAATGCCAAGCGCTCCGTCATCGAGCGGTCGGCCTTTTTGAGCGATCGGTCACTTAATCCACCCCAGTGGCATGCGCTGCGGAGCAAATCGAGCGTAACGCTCCCTGTGCCACCGCTTTCAGAGCGTCTGCCGTCACCTTTTAACAATTTCGGTTCACATTGCTACCATGCTGAAAGCATGTACTTCGGATCGGAAGTACCCCAGATTGTTTACTACTTGATTAAAGGTGAACTCCGATGTTAAGACGCAATTTATTTGTTCTTAGTTATATAAACCTGATGAAGACAACTAGAAGTACTTGTACGAGCCGTAGGATGCAATTAAGCAATACCAAACGTAAGACGTAAAGCGATCATCTCCGAAGGCGACTTCCATCTGCAGAGTATTTGGCGTATTGTCTTCTAATTATTCCAGTTACATTACGGAGACCACACAACAAACAAAGGACATACCCAGCTCTTCAACCGAATAGGTGCGCACAACATCTTCCACGTAACGCAATATCTTGGTCCTCTCCGCTGGCAGGGTGTACGGCTCGGCAAACACTTTGCCGAGAACAGCTACCTCGTTGTCACTGGAGCTGGAGCTAAGCTGGTATCTTCGTCGCTGATTTCGCTATCACTGCATTTTATTAGACGTCTTGAAATTAACTGCAACGATGTCATCGACGCAGTATGCTTGGGCGAGGCGGTCACGACAAGAGGAACGAAAGCAAGCACAGCAAGAGAGCCCGCCCAGCAATCGAAACAAAAAAGCCGCAAGGCCCCTTCACTCCCCTGCGGGAACGTTCATAATGAAACTGAAATGTTGCGAGTGATTACAGATCATACTCCTCCAAAAAAGACAGCGTGGAGAACAGGCACGTAGCCAGGCTTTTGTTTCGGGGGGAGGTGGCCCCCCATGACAAAATACTGGATGAGGGGAGGGGAGGTCCCAGCAAAATGGAAGATTTTTTGGGGGGGGCTTGGGCCCCATGGGCACCCCCCTGGCTATACGCGCCTGGTGGAGAACTACTCCGAGTCGCTCGACGTGCTCTGCCACTTTCCCACGGATCAGCTGAAGCTGCTCTGCGAGCGCCCCACAGGCTCCAGATCTACAAGCGGCACACGGAGAGATTGCTCGCATCTCGCGAGGGAAACAAGAATCTGCTCGGCGAGCGCTCACTATTTGCCAGGGGAAGGAGCTGTAAGCTCTAGGCTGTATAAACATATACACACCCCATTTATTTATTTATTTTGTAAAGTCTCCCGATAAAATTTACGCTTACAAGTATTGCCAACTAAGGAAGTCGCAAACCTGCCCAGGTTCGAGTTTGACTTTTTCGAAATATCAACGTGATGTTCGACAAAAAGCTCATTTGAAGTTTGACTTGCGAGCGCATGCGCGAAAATTGAAAAAAACAAAAAAAATTAGTTGACTCCACCTGGCGGAGGGAAAGTGCAATATTGGGGGTATTGGCCATCACTGGTTCACACTACCAACGAAATCATTAAAAGAGCACATTTTGGCTTTTATGTGGTGTATACATTGGTAACCTTTTCATAGAATATAAAATCAACTTTTCTAAATTATTTGTTTCCCAAAGTTTGAAATATTACTGCAATACCAGTAGTTTCTGCAACTGAAGTTATAACTAGACTGATTGATTGCACTGGAGGGAATGAAGATGCAGGGCGGCAAACCTGGCAGTCTCCCTTCAAAAGACAAGCAGGACAACAACTGTGCGGCAAGTTCTAAAGGGCATTCCAGTTCATACTTGCCTCAAGTCATAGAGTTCTTGGGGTAGTCTCCAAAGGCAATCCTTACTTACCTCACAATTTATTCTCTAGCGACCAAAGGAAGACAATCTCAAGTGGGTCAACAAAAAAGTGAAAGCCGTATACAACTCCCTGTAACGCCGAATTAGAGCGCAGCTCTTGAGGAGGAAAAGGGAAGGGGTCAACTGACCCGGGGGGGGGGGGGGGGGGGTCATGTAACCTGGGGATCACGTGACGATGACAATGCTGATGATGTCATCAGCGACGATGACGATGCGGATACCGATGACGTCATCAGTGACGTCACTGATGATGACGATAACGATGCGGATGTTGGTGACGTCATCAGTGACGTCACTGATGACGATGCGGATGCCGGTGACGTCATCAGTGATGACAATGACGATGACGATGCCGGTGACGTCATCAGTGATGATGACGTCATCAATGGGGGGGGGGGGTCACGTGACCTCGAGGAGGGGGTCACGTGACCTCAGGATCGTCACGTGACCTGGGGGGGGGGGGGGCTCGCGCGGTGATGCACCGCGCGGTTACGTTGACACCGCTCAAGCCGGAAACGGGCGCCTAAGAGCTGCGCTCTAAAACTAGTCAAACCCGTTTATAACGAACAGCAAGGAACGCTATGATCAGTTCAATATAGCAAGTAATTCAATATAGCAAAAACCATTTACAACAAACTTCCATGATGCTTTCGTTGTAAGCAGAGTTTGTTCTTAATTAAAATAAGAGCATCGACTTGACATAACAGAAAAAACAATTTCGTTAGACGTTTCGCCTCCCATGCGGGAGGCATCTTCAGTAGTTACAAAGCAAATGCAAGGTTCAACCTCAAGTCAACGCTATTTATCACGAATGTCCATATAAGCTTCGTGGAGAGGGCCGCGGTTTTTGTTACACACGGATGTGTCCCTGCGAACAAACCACGACTCTAGGAGCTTTCGGGGCCCCCATCTGTCCTCCCTCGCCAAGGTCGTCGCGGCCAGAAAGTCAAAAGATTGCCCCATTGTCCACGCATGGTCCACCAGTTCAGTCTTAAGTCACGTCGCGTGGGATGCATACGTGACGTCACGCTTGTGTTCGTTGAGTTTGGCATCTCTTCTTTGTCCGGTTTCACCAATGTAGGACGCTGGGCGGTCACTGCAAGGGATCTTGTAGATAACCCCTCTCTGGACGTTTGCTGGGGTTGGGTCCTTTGGTTTGGAAACAGAATTTCTAATAGTTCTGTATGGCTTGAAAACAGTTTGAATGCCAAGGGGCCTCAAAGCGTGACTGAGAGGTTCGGAGACTCCTTTGACATAGGGGATGCACACTACATTATCTCTTTCCCTTTCGCACGGTTGCACATTTTGTTTTTGACCTCGTCAACAAAACTGGCTTTCCGGCCGCGCAGAAACCTTAATGAAGAAGGATAGATGGGGGCCTTGAAAGCTCCTAGAATAATGGTTTGTTCGCAGGGACACATCCGTGTGTAAAAAAAACCGCAGCCCTCTCCACGAAGCTTATACGGACACTCATGATAAATAGCGTTGACTTGAGGTAAAACCATGCATTTGCTCTGTAACTACTGAAGATGACTTCCGCATGGGAGGCGAAACGTATTAATGAAATTGTTTTTTCTCTTATTTCAAGTCGGTGCTCTTATTTTAATTATGACGTCTCCCGGCTTTTGGAGTATTTTTGAGTTTGTTCTTTTAGCTTATCTCCCCTTCTGAATCGCTTCCCTTTGTGGGCAACCGTTTTGGGATGAAGTAGTTTTTCTTTCTGTGCGTGCGTGTAGAGTGTATGTTTTAGCGGTCTCCCATTCTATCGCTTCTCTTCACTCATTTTTGTTCGCCACTTGAGCTTTTTTAATTTTCTATCTTTCCTACTTTTTTTTTGTGTGGGAGGGGGGGGGTAGGGGAGGGAAGAGAGGGAGGGGAAAGACAGGCTAGACGACGATTGTTTGCGCGTTTTGCGAAGCCTTCCCAGAGGGAAAAAGCTCAATATAGCCAATATGTTGTTCGTTATGAAAAGTAATTTTTGTATGCATTTTTATTTAAATTTTCCGCGAGTTCAATATAGACAATAATTCGCTGTACGTGGGTTCGTTCTAAACAGGTTTCACTGTATACTTTTTTCTTCCAGCAACACGCGAGTATATGGTTCTCCAAGAATGAAGACACTGTACAGTTTTATTTTTTCTGAAAATTCCTTCCAGTGCAGGGCACTTCCAAGTCTCATAGATTTGGATGAGGCAAGTTTTCAGCTTCTTGCAGTTCAGAGGTTGCCGACACAATGCCAATCACCACGACGCAAATTGTTGGCGTTGATTTCGCGTCGAAACCCACAACTCGGTTGCTGCAACTCGGGAACATTAGAAAGCAGTAGCAACCGATCCGGGATGCAACTCTTTTATGTGACCTCTTCCTGGTGGTAGTATCTTTGATGAGTGAGGATCAGGTTTGGCTGTGTAATTTTTATGGGCAAGTAGTGTCGGGAAGGGGCTGCATTTTTAAGCTATCCCAAGTCAAATAGAACTCCTGCTGGACAAACCTTTTTTCTTTTTTTTATCCTTTCTTCCTTTTTACCAACCAACATTCAATCATCTTGACCTCTCACACACAGACAGACCCATTGTTAGAGCTACCGTCCATTATACGATGCACCCGACACGCTGAAGAAAAAATCCCGTGGCACAGTGCCTTGAAACTCAAATCTGTCGTGCCGAGTTCTGTATTAGCCACACGAATTCTAAGATGTTCAGTCGTCGCCAGCGCGACAAAGAGACTGGTTGCAAAACTGGCACAGATTTGAGACCCTTACACGAAAGAATGAACATGCGGGTTTAGTTTGCAGGTGATCATGACCGTGAGATTCGAGGAACAAGATGAAATGAGCGCTGGCTGAAGTTGTGCAAGGGACACCAACTTCCGTCCGTCCAGAATGTTGGAAGTGTCGAACTGCACTCGTAGACATGGCAGGGACTGCTTAGACTCCCAAGAAAGAAAATGCAGCGTTGGATCTCGCTGGAAACCGTCTTTTCTTTTTAGATCATTCGTCGTCTTCCCTTGTGTGAGTTTATTTACCTTTGTTTTTACGTTTACCAACGGAAGACGATGCAACTGCACCCATGCCTACCGAGAAGTCTTTCACACAAAAGGTTTCATGAGCTTCTTATGTGCCAGTCTTGTGTTGTATATTTTTTTTTTGTGTGCAGTGTTTTTACATTGATGTTTTGCCCCACCTGAACTGAAGTTTGTCTGTCTGCACGGTGAACAGAATATGCACATCCCATCTCTGTTCGTTTTCTCAACGGTTTGCCTCGTAGCTAATTGCGCAGTGCTGTGGCGATGGTCAAGAATATACCGACAGAGCACATTGAGAATTCCCACCAAGTGACGCTGCATTCGCAGAGTTGACGTCGATCCCTGAACCCAGGCGATTCTGTTCGCATTCATTTCTGCAGCTATCGCACTCGACGGCTTTCTACTGGTCAAAAAAGCTTTATCTGCAAAGCCTGTGGCACGCCTGTTTCAGAGTCTTTTGCAGGAAAAGTGCACAAAGTGCTTTAAATTATTCGTAGTGTCTATACATACCCAAACAATAAAGTTTAATTTTGGCTTCGATTATTACTGCTTTGAGTTTTGCTTGCCGTTGCTTTTTAAGCATTCGGAAGAGGCAATGTCGTTGTATGCTGTCTGCCTTTTGTTTTTATCTCAACGCGGGGGAGGTTGCTTTTCCTAATCTACTCGTGCAGTGGTGCAAGACAAATTCCATCAAAAACATTTCTTTTTCTTTTAAATAGATTTTACAATGCCAGGTGGTGCCATTTTGGCAAGAAACAATGTAAAAAGAATAGAACGGGACAAGCACCTACAACTCAACTAGCCTAAATTTGTAGCATTTATAGGGCCTCTTCACCCTCGTTATGCAGGCAAGTAAACAGGCAACTTAGGGGCACATTTCACAGGTTTTGTGAATATAGAGCCGCAAGTGTCGCAATGTCACGCAATGCCTCGTAACGGTGTCGCACCGTGGTGCACAAAGGACCCGTGAAGACCCTTCAGGTTGACATGGGGAGGTCACGCGGCGCCGACGCGCCATAGAGGCCAGATTTAAACGCTACGCACCAAAAGAAGAATGATGTCGGCAAGGGGTGGCAGAAATGCAATATCGGCCCTGGACAACACAAGCAGTGGCCCGATCCCGTCGAGGCCTTGCGCCTTGTTAACCATGCCCTTGTCCTCGAGTCTTGCAACGACGGATGCCAAGGACGGGTGCTGTGCGGCGGTTTCTCTAGCAACGGCCTCGACGTGGCGGCACGGCATAGGTCTGCTTCGTGACGTCTGTTGTGGTTGCTACGGTAACCACCACGCAACGCCCGTTTTCGGCCGACTTAAGGTCAGCGACGGCATAAGAATGCATTAGAAACTCCGCCTCCGGCCCTCGCTCGCTGCCTTCCACCAGGCTCTGGCGTGCAACGAAGTGCTACCAAAGGTAGAAAGCTCACGCCGGAAGTGAAGCATTGGCTGCATCGTTAACCTGTCGCTGACTACAGCTCTGTTCTTTGCACCTATAGAGCACACATGTTCCCCCTTTCTAGCCACGTCCGTAGACGCGCGGTGGAATGGCATTAAAACGAGTCAAAAAGAGTCGTACATGTGTGGCCCTTGTCCCTGCGCGTCATAACTATTCCTGTTAATGCCAAATTCATAAATGCACTCCCTAGTTTCCTTGAGCATAAAACCTAATAAATCAACAAGTAAAGCTCCAAAAACACAAAGGGATGCATGCGCAAGTATACCGTCCGGTACGAATCAAACGCAAACGGCAGAGTGTGCGGCCTTTGATACATGCTGCACTAACTAGAGGCTCCTAGGAGCCGATAGAAATGCGGAGTAGAGGGGAGAGGCTGCGAGGGCCTACTCGGATGTGTGCACCCTTGGAACCTCCCTCTCCACTCGGCAATTGCTGCAGAAGCTTCTAAATCGGGGGTCTCGAATTTGTCCCAGTATGGGGGACGGATAGCCCACCCTCAAAAGGCGCTTTTTCTTCTTTGTAAACTCGTCATTTTCTCAGATACATCTTTGGGTTTAATTGATTTACTTATCTTTGACCCCTACCTAATCTGATAAAATTATTTAGAATGCCACTGCCCTACCGGTGTGAAAAGATTTTTTCTATAGAACGAGAACAAGCAAACTGTTGTTGCCTCGTCACTCCATCCACGAGGGCAGTGTTTCTCAAATGGGGGTCCGCGGACAGTTTGGCTTTCTAGGGGTCCGCGAAGCCCTGCCCCGCCAGTGAAGCTCGGCAATAAAAGTGGTCTTTTATCCGATTGAGAAGTGTTCCAAGTATTTTCGTGTATTCTCGTGAATGTGTCAATAAGAGATGTCTAATTCACACTAGCCCTTAGCTATATTCATTTAATAAATCATTATCATAATTAACCTATACCTTTCCCTTTTCGTCACCATGAACAGGATCCTCCATCTTCTCCGCCGACCAACAAGGGGTCCGTGAAGCATCAGTGGTTGATAACCATAAATGAGCTCAGAGTCTCGATAAAAAAACGACCTCTTCGTAGGAGTTTTCGCTTTCCTGGCGGTGTTTATAGCAGCATTATAAGAAAATACATTTAATCTATTGGCATTGGCATTTTTTAATGGCAAGAAGCCCGAGCTCGCAGCATTATCTTACCGAGCGAGATTTTGTGCAGCTGAGGTGTGTCTCTGAACAAAGAGCTTGTGCTTTTAGCTAAGTGGCATAATTGTCCTATGGAGGACTAAAATGTGAAAGAGCCGAGAATTGAAAACCAAGACGAAACAGAATGCAAGACAAAACAAAATAGTGCAAACTTTGCTAAGAAGTTATAAGAGCAGAACTATGTTTCAATATTTCAAATGCAAATGAAAGGATCGACAAAGACCGTTGTGGCGCATGCAGTGGCGGCGCTCGAAGCAAGAATAGGGGCTCGTAGCTACGGGAAGGGCTCTGCCCTTGCGCGCCTCACCCCAATCAGTTGCGGGCCATGTGTTTCAGACCCCTGCTCTAGGTAGTGCAGCATCCTTCAAAGGCCACAGGCTTCGCCATTCACATTTCTTTCGTACCGAGTAGTACCTTGCCCTCTTGCGTAGCAGAATACTTGAATATAACTTGGTCTACCGATGCCCAACGTCGTCAGTTCTCCCTTTCCGACTTGTGCTGCATGAACTGCCTCAATAAGTAACTCGGCAACGAAAGTTCAACGCCCGAAGACTTCTTGCCCTCTTGAGTAGCAAAAATCCTTAAATATAACTTGGTCTACCTATGCCCAATGTCGTCAGTTCTCCCTTTCTGACTTGTGCTGCATGAACTGCCTGAAGTAACTCAGTAACGAAAGTTGAACGCCCGAAGACTTCTTGGGGATGGGCTTGGGCTTGGGCTTCCGGATCGTCGCAGCATCACTCGGAGGTAGCAGCTGCATCATCCTCGGCGGAATGGGCAGCACCGCGTCCCCAGGACGGCCAGGGCCAAGGTGTTCCCCGCTCGTCGTTGCAACGGTCGTGGTCTTTTCGATGGCACCCTTCACAAAAGTGTCGGCGGTGAAGCGCGGCTTGACTGCCGCGCACAGCTTCCCGTTCCTGCAGCTGATCATAGCCTGTCCTCCTCCGCCCGCCAACGGTACGGTCCCAACGCTCGTCGAGGTCGAAGGTCTGCTTGTCGACGGTGACTCAGAACTGTGAACGTCAACCGCCTTAGTGACGTCCGTCTCGACGGAGACAGACTGTGAGCATGCCCCGTCTTTCGCAGACTCGGAGGCTCTGGAGGAACTGACGACTTTGCACTCTTTCGACTTGGTGGGTTGCTTTGGTCTCCTGGTCTCTCCGGTCTCCTGCATCGACGTCTCGGACGCGTCGCTTTCGTGTCCCTCGTGCTGGGGCTCTCGAACGGACGCAGACGACGCAAAGTGATTGGCGCTCCGCTTGGGTGCACTCACTCCGCGCAGCTGATCGGCCTTCCGCTTTCTCGGCAGTCGGGCTGCCTCGCGATCAGGCGGTTCGGCGGCGGCTTTTGCAGATCGGTCAGCGGAAGACGTGGACTTCTCGATGGTGCCATTGCCCGCTTCTCCGGCGATGTTGGAAGCGCCGGTTTTTGGCTCGCCTTTACGAACAAGGGGGGTAGAGACCCAGTCGGCGGTGTCAAGTTTTTCAGCTGTTGGGAGAAAAAAAAAGCGGACACAAATGATCAAGACACACTTATTCAAATGGAACAACTAAAAGAAGTCGCCACACTAAAGGCTTTGCACAAATGCCAATTCTAGAAAAACGAGCCAAAATGGATTTGGAGGTTACCGAAATTACACGGTTCCTCTCATTTTTACAAATGGCAATCCTTTGCTGTGCAGGGTTGAAACCTCCAGTCAAAACTTACAGCAGTTTGAAGCATTTGTTACAGACTATGTTGCCCCTCGCACCGCTGCGCAAATCCTTTTAAAACGCGGTCCATCTGGATTTTTCCAATTTTATGGATGCGTGCAGCCAGGGGCGATTCTTTGATAGACTTTTCCAACACAACTTCACAAGACTAAAGACATGTTTGCACGTCTCCTACGTCGTGCAAAAGATGGGGCGAATCCTCAAGAGATCAAAAACCTGCATGTTCACGCAACATTTTTATTTTTTGTTTTCATATGTGATGTACACACAAATGAATCGCACAAAACTGAACTTTTTGTCTAGAAAACGCATTTTCACTAAGAAAAAAAAAAGCTTTGAGACGGCATAGTGGCCCTGCTCCCACAGCGGACTGCTATAGTTGCCAACTTTGTGGTCCTGTGGAAAGGAGGCAAAAGAGTAATATGCCAAAAATGTTTCCTGTTTCATGTAACACACCAAAGTTTAAGTCAAGTGCATGCAATTATTGTTCTCTACAAATTAAAAAAAAAAAAAATAGAAAAAATTCATAACTTTAAGTCAGGTGAAACGAACACACAAACGAACACACGACATCTAAATTATTCCTGCAAAATATTAACTTCCAAAATAAAATATCAACATAGAAAATAATTATTTCTGAAAAACATTTAAATACCCATTTGAAAACAATACAAAAAAAAAGTCTCAATTTCATTAGAACTCTCTTTACGCCAGGCAAAAACATGATGCACCATTTGCTTGGTAGAAATGTTCTAAGTGAAAGTGGCGGTGGTGAAGCGTCTTGACTCTGGCATTTTTCGCTTCACCCCGCGCTAATAATTTTTTTTTAAAAAAGCTTTTTTTTTTTTATTTTCTTGCCACAAAAAAGAAATTTGTGTGTTGTAGCTTGCTGTAATAAAAATATCTTTCCACATTTTTCTTTTTTTTGCTCATGGTTGTTGACAGGCACTCATAAAAGTTTAAACTCCTTGATCACGCTTGGACTTCACATGTCTCGTTTATTAAAACTAGAGAATAAAAGAATGACGCCTTAGGTACAAGGGTATGGGGTGCTTATGTTACGGCGGAGCCAAGGAGGAGGTTATTGTTTGCCACGCAGTATACATGGCCTGCGGTCGCTCTCGCTGTTGGGAGCTGGTAAGGTGTTTGAGCTCGCGTTGACCGTGGGGCAAACATACACATCCCCCTCAGCTCTGTCGTAACATAAGCGCCCGTACCCTTGTACCCGAGGCGTTGTGCCTTTATTTTCTGCAGTTCTAATAAAACTGCATGAACGGTTGTCCATGCGCTTCTTTCCTTGCGTCTAAAAACGCAACAGCGACCTAAATATGACGGCTCGTCAACGCTTCCCCTTGAAAAAGATTTGGAGAATCCGCTGAACTCTGAGCGCATCAAGGTGGATTACTATGACAGTCCAGCTAGTCTTTTGGAATGCCCGGTAGCAGAATTGGTGTCGGCATGTCAGTGATGTCATCCAGACAGCTGTGTGTTTGTGCAAGTATGTCCAGGAAAGGCACAGAGGCGGAGCTTTTCTGCACAAGAACTTTAGACTGCCCAGTTGGTGGCCACTGGTGATGGTCGTCAGTGGGGGAACTCTTCGGTCGCAACAGCGTTGAGAAACCTTCGGGCTTCAGTTGGTTTGGCGGCGCAGACGAAGCGATGTGAGAAGCGACAGGCGTTGCCATTTTTTTTTCTTTATTTGTTTTGCGGAGTTGTTTCCGCCATTGTGCACGCTATGCACGCAGCTCATAGCTCACCGAGTTTTTTGTGTCGATTGCCTCCGCGTTCACAAGAAGATACCTTCCAACAGAAATTTTTACACTGCCAAGCTCCTAAGTGTTGGATCATTGTGTAGGTTGCCTGCCTACCAGGATCCAGTAATTTGCAGTATGCAGACCAGGTCTGCCAGCACTGCTTTGGGCGCCTGAAGGCACTCCTATTCTCATCTGCCGGCACACCTGATAAAATCAACGAGACATTTCTTCAGGAAGAAGAAGCAGACAATCACGTTGACGTCAGTTCCGGTATAGAAGGGAAAAGCAGTAGTGAACTTGATAGTAAGTGCGACAGGGGCTGAAGTATAATTATCACATGAAGGGTAATTAAGGAATTGTACATCACATTGTTCATGGGGGATCTGAAGTCTGGTCGGGGTTGACACTCCCGAGGTTTTGATGCCAGGTAGTTTGGCGCGTTGGGGCTCGGTAGTGAACGAGACGAGACGGCTTAAACTGTCTGGCTTGAAATAGCGGACGGGCAGTCTTGGAGGCCTGCTGACCAGGCCGGTAGCTGTTGTTGCAGGTCAGTTTTTCGACCAACAGGTCTTGAACGCATTGTTCTGTTGCCTTCCTTCTCTTCTTTCTCCACTACAGGCCACTTGCACCTGTGGTGGACTAACTTCAGGCTGTATAAAAATACACACACAATTTTTGTTTTTCAACATTTTTTTTTTCTTTTGTTTTTCTTGGTGAAGTGCGAAATTATTAGATGGTTCTTTGCAGAAAAAAGGTTACATTGTGCAGATACCTGCGTCTCAAATGATAAAGGAATGAGTGAAATGAAGTGAACGAAAAAATTCAAGCAGTTATTAAAGAAAGTAAAAGACAAAAACAAATCATTGATCCTTTTAAAGTGTGATGATTTGGCATCTAACCAGATTAAACCTTTTCTCGATAACCCAGCGATCACCTTGGCACGCGCACTACGTGAGCCGTCAATGACAGCGGGCACTAAAATAATTCGGGTTTGTGTATATTTATACAGCATGCACCGTATTTACTCACACAATGAACGCACTCGCGTAATAAACGCACCCCCCAAGTCGGCCCTCAAAATTTCGACTTTTTTTTCACTCGCGTAATAAACGCACCCTCAACTCACCCCCAACTCGGACGTCAAAATTTTGACCGCTTCCCCCTACACGTGCGAAATGAACGCACTTTTCTATCCTGGTGCAGCGAGGTCGCGAATGCATGGGCAGCGTGGGCGAACAAAACGCCTTGCAAAAGGCGTTAATAAAATTCGCAAAGATCTAACGGAAGCAAAAAAAAAAAAAAAAACGTGGAGAGTAGCTTTTTCTTTTTTTTTTTTGCACAGCGCAGTCTGGACTTTGGGTTCGCGCACCGCCGCGCGCAAGAAGGTAAGAAGGAGAAGCGCTCTAAGCGAACGAAACAGCTTGCAAAAAGCGGCAAAAAGAAAAAGAAAAAAAAAAACAAACACGGAACTAAGAGAAAACAAAAAAAAAGAGGAGCTTTTTTTTTTTTTTTTTGCACAACGCAGTTTGGTTACTGGGGGTCGCGCGCCGCGCGCAAAGAAATAAGGAAGAGGAGCGGAGAAGCCCTCAAAGCAAACGAAACAACTTGCGAAAGGCAACAAAAAAGAAAGAAAAAAAAAACCCCTCGGAACTGAGAAAAAAAAAAAAAAAAAAAGAGGAGCTTTTTTTTTTTTTTCTTTTTTACAGCGCAGTTTGGTTAGGGGGGGGGGGGGGGGTCGTGCGTCGCGCACCATGTGCTAGGAGATAAGAAAGATAAGCGGAGAGCCCTCGCCTAAGCAAACAAAACTGCTTGCGAAAGGCGGCAAAAAAAAAAACAAAAAACAAGGAACTAAGAAAAAAAACAAAACAAAGGAGTTTCTTTTTTTTTTTGCACAGCTTAGTTTGGTTCCGGGTTGGGCGGCGCGAGCGCAAAAAGAAAAGAAGTTCCATCGATTTTTCAGGATAAAAGGTTCCTTCATTATGCGAGTAAATACGTACGCAAAAATTTTACTTCGCGTAATGAACGCCCCCCCCCCCCCCCTCAACTTTGCATCGATTTTTCGGGAAAAAAAGTGCGTTCATTCTGCGAGTAAATACAGTAGTTGGTCAGCCATTTCAAAGTTGCGACGAGTCACTCGCTGTAGATGAGCAATTTAGCCAGTGCAGTACAACCGCTAGCCTGGGGTCTTTAACATGCATCGCGCAGTAGTGATACACAACCGCACGCCGGTACGATCCTCATCCAGATCGAAACGGGCTTGAGCCCAGGATCCTGGGTTCTGCAGCGCGGGCTTTCGCTCCACGTGCTCCCAGCTGGTGTGCACTAGACCACTCGGCCACCAAGCCCCCCTACAGCAGGCAGTCACAGCTTGCACGCTATGTAAGCTGCTGCAAACACATTGATGAACTCTCCTTGTTTCTGCACGCAGCCTGGTTTGGCGGTAATCGTTACATAAAGCTCCGTGAAACACTGGACCCACCGATAACTCACAGAAATGTAAACAAGTCAAAGACTCCAGCCGGTGACAAGACTAAAAACTATGAGGTGAACTTTTCACGAGTGCTTGGTTTTACTTCACAGCTTGCATTGATGTCTCACCAGCCACCCTCCGCCAGCTTCCCGTTGAGCATGGACTATCGCAGACGACACGAGCTAAAACAGTCCTTCGTGCTTCTTTGACGTACCTGCCGATTTGCGAGGGCTGTGGTCTCAACTTGGAATGGAATACAAAGTTGATCTTCCATACTTTCGAGTAGCTGACAAATAGAGATAATAAAGCTTCTGGGCAGCAGAAGATGTCCGGACTGTGTGTTTCAGCACATAGGGGAGTACCTTCTGCAGCCCACATTTTTGCGCAGCACACATTGCACACCACATAATACATCGGCAAAAAGAATCAGCAACAAGCACCGGCACAATGCAATAGCATTGCACACACAAAAGCCACATACAAAATCTTGGCGAAGATCGACTTCAATGAGCGGTAACTCAACGACGTTCTCCAGCTGCACCGTGCCAGTTT